CAGCATCTCCAGTGAAGCCGGAGGCCGGCCCGGGGAGGGGGAGCGGAGGAAGGGAGTCTGCATGGGGGAAGGAGGCGGGCAGCGAGCGCCTCCCGCTCCCGGCTCTCCACCCGGAGCGGTCGGGGCAGCTCAGCCTGGGCACTCCGGGTGACCTTGGGGAGACCCCTCTGGGCGACCTCTCTGGGGCGGCTGCACGTCTCCGCCCATCCTCGGCGCTCGGGGGCGCTCCTCCCGGCTGGAATCGGTGAGCGGGAGTAGCCCGGAGGGGAACGCTCCTGACGCGGGGGACCCAGCCTCCGGCGCGCGGGGCCCTGGGAGAGGCCGGGCGCGCCCCTCCCTGGGAACTACCACGCGCGGGGTCTCCCCGGGCTGGCGGACGCTGTCAGCCGAATCCCGAGGCGGGGCGGGTCTGCAGGCTGAGACGCCTGCCCTGGGGACCTTTCCCGCCCGGGCAGGAGCGCTCTCTGAGCCCTGCCGCTGCCCGCGGGGACCAAGCGCCGCCACGCGAGGGGGCGGCACCCCCATGCCGAGCCAGGAGAGTAGGCGCGGGGGCGCGTTTGGGGTTCGCTGTGGCTCCCGCCGCCCAGCATTGCACCCCCGGCAGACTGCGGCGCACGAGTCCAGAACCGGCCGAGGACTCCACCTCCCCGCCTCAAGATCGGGCCACGACGGCCGCAGCCAACGACCTGCCAGTGCGCCCCCTCCCCTGGCCCCATCAAGGAAGCGCGAGCCCGGGGAGAACGTCCTCACTCCAGCGCGACTCGCGGACCCGGCGCTCTTGGCATCCGCCTTTCCAGAGTCCCCACACCCCCATTTATCTCAAGCTCCCGGCCCTTGGCCAAAGCTTCCCGCCCCCAACGAAGTGACGGGAGGCTGGGACCACCTCCCCGCCCCATCCTCATCCGCAGTCCCGCGAAGCCGCAGAACGCAGGGAGAGAGGCGGCGGCGCCGGGGAACTCACCCGCTCTCCCGAGCCCTGCCCCGGGCGGCTCCCGACCCCGGCTCTGTCTGTGGGTCCGCGAAACGCAGCTGCTCGAGCGGCTACCGAGCCGGCTCTGCTCGGCCGCCAGCCTCCGCGCCGCCTCTCGGCTCCTCCCCCAAGGCGGGGCCTGAGCTCCTGGGACTGGGGTGGGCGCGCTCAACCCGATCCGGCTTGGGAGGCAGCGCGGGACAGGGTCCCGGCGCTCTCGGGTGGGGACCCCTCTTCTGAGCTGCAAGAAGTTGAAACCGGTTTGGACGCGGCCAGGCTTCGGAATAGCTTTCCTAATGCTGCCCCCTCCTCCCAAATAGTTTTCCTAACCGCCCCCCCCTCCCGCCCCCGCCACCGTGGAAAGAGGGAAGCCAAGGACTGTATCCCTGCTCCCATTTGACAGACGGGAATCCTGAAGCACAGGGAGGAGTGGTAACCTGCTCTAGGTCACTCAGAATTAATGCCAGGGCCAGGAACTCAGGGCTCCTACCTTGAAGGCCTGCTAGGCCTGAATCTGAAGGATTCCCGGGTCTAGGGGCCGTCCCAGGTCTTGCGCTGGGGACAAGTCTGTGGAGCCAGGTCCCCCAAATGGGGGCGGGGGGCAAGACATGGGGGCTGTGGCCTGCGGCGTGGACTCGCGTCATTTCCTCTTTCTGGAAAGAAGGGAGGTGAAGCGCTGGAGGAAGGAAGTGGTCGTACCTCTGCTGACATCTGCTTCCCTTCGAGTTGTGCAGGATGAAGATAGGGGCTGCTTCCCTGAGATTTAACGCTAAAAATACAAAGCAAAACATACCCGGTGGCTTCTGTCACCTCATTCAAGCCTCTTTCTGGGGCTGAAGGCCTCTGCACTCTGCGCACCAGCCTTTCTTTACACCACAATAGGCTTAACTATTTAAGTTGCTGAGAGTCATCCCCCACCATCACCACCCCAGGAAGAGAAGTGAAAGTTCATAAACAAAGCAGAGAAAACAACTCCAAACATTCTCTGGAATCCACATTTGCTGAACACTGGCCTTAGAACAATAGGTTTCTCTTCTCCACAAATGGCCTTGTTTCCGGAGCTTTCCCGGCCTACAGATGAGAGCCCTAGGCACCCCCAGGGCTAGCCAGCTGGGAGAAAGAGAGTTTGAGTCTGGAGAGTTTGGGGATGACACCCAGTTAATTTAATTCTCAGCTGTCATGTTTGAGAAACTCTCCCGAATCCTTTTTTTCACTAGCAATGTTCTTTGGAGGCCACCAGCATCACCTGAGTTTAGTGATTTCTTGTTTGCTCAGTCACCTTTCTTGGGGGAGAGAAAATCTGTGGGTTGAACTTGTTCCAGGGCCCCGGGCCCTCCCCAGGAACTTTGCAAGGCGCCCTCATTGGCTCCCTGGCTCCCTCTCTGTTCATTAATAATCCAGTTGTGAATGACACTGTTTCAGGAAGAGCAATTCGACAGCAGAGCAGGTGGGGAAGACTTAAAGTGATGTTTCAAATAACCCAAGGGGATCATTGCTCTTCACAGAACGTTTCCATTGATTTATAATGAAGAGCTGTGGGCTGTGAGGATGGGAATCTATCTCTCCAAGGCTCCTGAGGAACTTGGAGCCTGGGTTCCTAAAATGAGACCCTTGGAGGGAGGAGGCTTCCAACTCCAATGCTGTAATGTTCATTCACCTCTCACACAGTCTTTTGTACCAAAAGTTAAAGTAAATTCAGAATAAGCTGGAGGACTCATGTGTCCTGATTTCACAACTTACTAGAAAACTTCAGTAATCAAGGCAGTGTGGTATGGGTATAAGGATGGGTGTATAGACCAAGGCAGTAAAGCTGAGAGTCCAGACAGAAGTCCTTACATTTACTGCAAGTTGATTTTAACAACAGTGCCAAGACAATTTAATGGGGAAAGAATAGTTTTTTCAAAAAATGGTACTGGGACAACTGGATATCCACATGCAAAAGAATGAATTTGGATCCCTGCTTCATACTACATGCAAAATGTAGATCTAAACACAAGAGCTAAAGCTATTAATCTCTCTGAAGAGGCCGGGCGGGTTGGCTCACGCCTGTAATCCCAGCACTTTGGGAGGCTAAGGTGGGCAGATCACAAGGTCAGGAGATTGAGATCATCCTGGCCAACATGGTGAAACCCTCCTTCTACTAAAAATACAAAAATTAGCCGGGCGTGGTGGCACATGCCTGTAATCCCAGCTACTCAGGTGGCTGAGGCAGGAGAATCGCTTGAACCAGGGAGCTGAAGGTTGCAGTGAGTCAAGATCCTGCCACTGCACTCCAGCCTGGTGACAGAGTGACACTCTGTCTCAAAAAAAAAAAAAAAAAAAAAAGCAAAAACAAAAAACAAAACAAAACAAAAAAACTCTGAAGAAAACATAAGCTTAAATCTTCACGACCTTGGATTAAGCAGTGGTTACTTAGATATGATACCTATAGCACAAGCAACAAAAGAAAAAATAGGTAAATTTAAAGGTTTCATGCTTTCAAAGGTATCAAGAAAGTGAAAAGATAGGGCTGGGCCTGGTAGCTCACACCTATAATCCCAGCACTTTGGGAGGCCAAGACAGGAGGATCACTTGAGGCCAGGAGCTCAAGACCAGCCACGGCAACATAATGAGATGCTGTCTCTACAAATTCTTTTAAAATCAGGCAGATGTAGTGGCTCGTGACTGTAGTCCTAGCTATTTGAGGATTGCTTGAGCCTACAGAAGTTCAAGGCTGCAGTGAGCTATGACCGTGCTACTGCTCTCCAGCCTGGATAACACAGCAAGACTTTGTCTCTAAAAAAAATTAAAAAGAAAAAGAATAAAAAGAAAGTGAAAAAAATAACTGTTATAAGCTGCATTGTATGCCCCTCATTCATATGCTGAACTGTACTAGTTACAGTCCCAGAACCTCAGAGTATAACTGTCGATGCAGATAAGGTCTTTAAAGAGGTGATCAACTTAAACTGAGGCCCTTAGGATGGGGCCCTCAGCAATGACTGCTGTCCTCACAGGAAGAGACACTAGATGAAGGGGGATGGGGAAAGGAAGAGACACTAGAGATGTGCCACACAGAGGAAAGACCAGCGGCAGAAGGCACAGGGAGAAGAAAGTCAACTACGAGCCAAGGAGAGAGGACTCGGGCCTGGGGGCAGACCAGGGACCAAACCTGCCAACAATCTGATCTCAGAATTTTAGCCTTCAGAATTGTGAGAAACAAATTTTGAGGTTTATTTTATTTTATTTTAGATAGAGTTTCACTCTTGTCACCCAGGCTGGAGTGCAGTGGCAGGATCTCGGCTCACTGCAACCTCTGCCTACCAGGTTCAAGTGATTCTCCTGCCTCAGCCTCCTGAGAAGCTGGGATTTCAGGTGCCTGCCATCACACTAGGCTAGTTTTTGTATTTTTAGTATAGACAGAGTTTCACCATGTTGGCCAGGCTGGTCTTGAACTCCTGACCTCAAATGATCTGCCCCCCTCGGCCTCCCAAGGTGCTGGGATTACAGGTGTGAGCCACCGCACCCAGCCAATTTCTGTTGTTTAAGCCACCCAGTCTGTGGTATTATGCTATGGCAGCCTTGGCAAATAGATACAGTAACCTACAAAATGGGAGGAGATTGTTCAAATCATATTCCTGGTAAGGGACTTAAATCTAGAATATACAAGGAACTCTTACAACTCAATAATAAAAAGACAAATAACTCAGTAAAAAATGGGCAAGGAGCCTGGGCAACATGGCAAAAATCCTGTCTCTATTAAAAATACAAAAAGTTAACTAGGCATGATGGCACGCATGGGCCTCTAGTCCCAGCTACTGGGGAGGCTGAGGTAGGAGGATTGTTTGAGCCTGGGAGGCAGAGGTTGCAGTGAGCCCAGATTGTGCCACTGCACTCTAGCCTGGGTAACAGAGCGAGACCCAGTCTCAAAAAAAAAAAAAAAATGGGTGATGGATCTGAACAGATATTTCTTCAAAGAAGATATATATACACATAGCCAATAAGCACATGAAAAGATGCTCAACATCGCTCTGGTCTCAGCTGCAGAAGCAAGATGACGAAGGGAACGTCATCGTTTGGAAAGCATGGCAATAAGATGCAGATGTTGTGCTGCCGCTGTGGCTCTAAGGCCTACCACCTTCAAAAGTCGACCTGTGGCAAATGTGGCCACCCCGCCAAGCACAAGAGAAAGTGTAACTGGACTGCCAAGGCTACAAGACAAAATACCACTGGGACTGGTCGAATGAGGCACCTAAAAATTGTATCCTGCAGATTCAGGCATGGATTCCATGAAGGAACAACAACTGAACCCAAGAGGGCAGCTGTTGCAGCATCCAGTTCATCTTAAGAATTTCAACAATTAGTCACGCAACAGATGCTCTGGTTTTTTAAAATACAAAAAGAAAAAAAGAAAAAGAAAAAAAGACAACACCATTAGCCATCAAGGAAATGCGAATCAAAGCCACAATGAGCTACCACTTCATACCCACTAAGATGGTTATAATCCAAAAGACAGGCAATAACCAGCACTGGTAAAGAGATGGAGAAATTGGGTACCTCATACGTTGCTGGTGGAAATGTACAATGGTGCCGCTGCTTTGAAAACCAGTATGACGTTTCCTCGAAATTTAAAACATGAGTTACCAGATGGCCCAGCAATTCCACTCCTAGGATATGCTCAGGAGAAATAAAAGCATACATACACAAAAACTTGTACACAAATGTTCATCATAGCATTATTCATAACAGCTGAAAAGTGGAAACAACCTAAATTTCCAGCATGATAATGGATAAATAAAACATGGTACAAGGCACTATTACTTGACAATGAAAACGAATGAAGCACTGGTAACATGCCACAATGTGAATGAAACTTGAAAACCTTGTGCTGAGTGAAAAAAGCCAGTTCCAAGGCCACACACATATTGTATTTGTATGAAATGTCCAGAATAGGTGGATCTATAGAGATAGAAATCAGATTGGTGATTGACTAGAACTGGGAGGGAGTTGTTGGAGGCAAGTGGGGGAAGGGTGACTCAAAAAGAATACCAGGTTTTCTTTTGGGGGTGATGAAAATCTTCTAAAATTGATTGTGGTGATGATCACACAAGTATGGATATATTAAAAACCATTGAGTTATATACTTTAAGCCAGTGAATTGTATGGCATGTGAATTATATCTCAATAAAGTTTTTGTTTTTGTTTTTGTTTTGTTTTGTTTTCATTTTTTGTTTTGTTTTTTTCATTTTCTGGTTTTTTATTTTTATTTGGTATTTTTGTTCATTTATTATTTTTTATAATAAAGTTGTTTTTTTTAAAAAAGTTAAACTATACTCTCATCCTCCACACCTCTCTCTCCTGTCCACAGGGAGGAAAGTCCCTTCCTTTATTTTGGAGGTCATCTGTGGTACCTTCTATGGTAAGACATTAAGGGACAGTCCAAGGCCACTGAATATTCTGTGAGGCTATGGGAACATGTTTGAGGGCCTGCAAATAAATAAATGGGCTCCAAAATACAAAATCTAAAACACTGATGTTTAAAAATATAGAGTTAAATGTCAACATAACTCTAGGTCACCTGGTCAACTGCAACTCAGTCAATTCATAGTTACATATAAATTATAAAGAAGGTAGAATTTGGGTGAATTATACAGTTGCTATGAGGCAACGGAGTCTGGGAAAAATGAACTAATTCCGGTGTTTAAAGGGATTCATTCTAGAGGTTATCTGAACCAAGGTGTTTTGTTTGTTTGTTTGTTGAAACAGAGTCTCACTCTGTCACCCAGGCTGGAGTGCAGTGGTACGATCTTGGCTCACTGCTACCTCTGCCTCCTGGGTTCAAGCGATTCTTCTGCCTCAGTCTCCTGAGTAGCTTGCATTACAGGTACCCACCATCATGCCCAGTTAATTTTTGTATTTTTAATAGACAGGGTTTCCCAGTGTTGGCCAGGCTGATCTCGAAGTTCTAGGCTCACATGATCCTCCCAAAATGCTGGGATTATAATCGTGAGCCACCACACCCAGGCTGAACAAGGTTTTTGTTTTGTGTTTTTTTCTGAGACAGAGTCTCACTCTTCACCCTGGCTGGAGTGCAATGGCATGAGCATAGCTCACTTCGGCCTCCTGGCTCAAGGGATCCTCCCATCTTAGCCTCCCAGGTAGCTGGGACTACAGTCGCATGCCACCACGCCCAGCTAATTTTTTTTTTTTTTTTTTACTTTTAGTACAGATGAGCTCTTGCTTTGTTGCCCAGGCTGGTATTAAACTCTTGAGCTCAAACAATCTTGCTCGAATAGCAGGCATGAGCCCATGGTTCTTTTTTTTTTTTTTGAGATGGAGTTTAGCTCTTGTTACCCAGGCTGAGTGCAATGGCGTGATCTCGGCTCACCGCAACCTCCGCCTCCTGGGTTCAGGCAATTCTCCTGCCTCAGCCTCCTGAATAGCTGGGATTACAGGCACGCGCCACCATGCCCAGCTGATTTTTTTTTTGTATTTTTAGTAGAGACGGGGTTTCACCATGTTGACCAGGATGGTCTCGATCTCTTGACCTCGTGATCCACCCGCCTCGGCCTCCCAAAGTGCTGGGATTACAGGCTTGAGCCACCGCGCCCGGCCCCGAACCCATGGTTCTTAATGTCAGTCTGTGGGCAGGTGCTAGGCTGCTTTCATTCATTCATTCATTCATTCATTCAACAGATACTTAGTCTAATGCTAGACCCAGAGTTAGCCTTGATAGGTGGCCCTTGTCCCCATGCTGCTACTGCTGATGATGAAGGTGATGGCTCCAGGCCAGGCACAACCAAAAGAAGAGCAAGGAGTGCAGAGGGTTCAACTTGGGTTCAAGTAAAAATGAGCCAAGAGGGAGAAAGGCATCCCAGGTAAGAGTTCTAGCTCTGGCATGAACTCGCTGGGCGGTCATTTCCTCTTCTGAATGTCGGTTTCCTGGTCTGTACAATTCCGATTGTATAATATTTGCAAGTGTTTGTATGTGTGGTTTTTTCCCACGTCCTCATGCGTGGGAAGTTACTTTTGTTTCACTTCTTTTGTTAGCTCCTCAAAAGCTGTTTGCACACACTAGGAGCCCCCTAAGTAGGTGGAAGGAGCCCTAAACATTTACGGCTAGTGGTAAATTCAACCTGTGATAATGTGAGGCTATGGGTAACTAAGAGTGGGACACAACAGCTTTCATTTTTTGGGTTTTTTTTGAGATGGAGTTTCGCTCTTGTTACCCAGGCTGGAGTGCAATGGCGCGATCTCAGCTCACTGCAACCTCCACCTCCTGGGTTCAGGCAATTCTCCTGCCTCAGCCTCCTGAGTAGCTGGGATTACAGGCACGCACCACCATGTCCAGCTAATTTTTTTTTTTTTTGTATTTTTAGTAGAGACGGGGTTTCACCATGTTGACCAGGATGGTCTCAATCTCTTGACCTCGTGATCCACCCGCCTTGGCCTCCCAAAGTGCTGGGATTACAGGCGTGAGCCACCGCGCCCAGCCTAGCTTTCATTTTTATATTCAATTTACGATGAATCTTCTGCAGCGGCTCTCAGTCTTGGTGGTACATTGGAATCACTAAGAAGTTTTAAATTTTTCTAGAGGTTTTTTTTTTTTTTTTTTCCTGAGACGGTGTCTTGTTCTGTCACCCAGGCTAGGGTATGCTGGCATAATCTCGGCTCACTGCAACCTCCATCTCCTGGGTTCAAGGGATTCTCCTGCCTCAGCCTCCCAGTAGCTGGGATTACAGGCACCCTCCAGCAAGCCTGGCTAATTTTTTTGAAGTTTTAGTAGAGACGGGGTGTTTCACCATGTTGGCCAGGCTGGTCTTGAACTCCAGACCTCAAATGATTCACCTGCCTTGGCATCCCAAAGTGCTGGATTTACAGGTGTGAGCTACTATGCTTAGCCTGGAGGTTTATTTTTAAACACACATACAGATCAAAAGAACTCCCAAGGTGTGTTGAAAATGCAACTTCACTTAGCCAGGATTAACAATCACAGCCTAAGTCAGTGTTTCACCAATTTTGGTGATCATAAAATGGGTAAGGAATGGGAGAGGGGTTTAGTCCATTTTGTGTGGCTATAACACAGTACCTGAGACTGGGTAATTTATAAAGAAAAGAGGTTTATCTAGCTCACGGTTCTGCAGGCTGAGAAGTCCAAGGGTATGGCCCAGGCTTCTGGCAAGGGTTTTCCTGTATCACAGCATGGTAGAGAAGGGAGGAGGTCAAAAGGGAAGCAGACATGTGCAAAGAGGGGAAACCTGAGGACTGTCCCGGCTTTAAAACAACCCAATCTTGTGGGAAAGCATTCATTCCTGCAAAAACCAATCCAGTCTCTCCAGAGCCAGAACTCACTCTCTACTGGGAGAACAGCACCAAGTTATTCCTGAGAGATCTGCCTCCATTACCCAAATACCTCTCACTAGGTGCCACCTCCCCAAACCCTCATACTGGGGATCAAATTTTAACGTGAATTTTGGTCGCAACAAACAAACCACATCCCCGGGTGGCAGGATGGTGGGGGAGAAACAGTGTTAAAATGCTCCTTCCTGGGCCTGTCCTTTGTACTCCTTTCTCATTCTTTGGTGTAGGATGGGGCCTAGGAATATGCATTTTAAAGATTCTAATGAACAACATGCCTTAGCTAATGTCTTTAGCTGCCTTGGTAGCAATGCCTCATTCTCCTGTATTCTTTTTTTTTTTTTTAAGATGGGGTTTCACCATGATGGCCAGGTTGGTCTTGAACTCCTAACCTCAGGTGATCCATCCACCTCGGCCTCAAAGTGCTAGGATTACAGGCGTGAGCCACCGCGCCCGGCTCCCCTGTATTCTTTACGTTGACTTAAATGGGCTTTCTAAAATTCCAGGGACAGAAAAGTCATCTGAGGCACTTATTAAAAATGCAGATTCTGGTTGGGTGTGGTGGCTCACGACTGTAATCCCAGAACTTTGGGAGGCTAAGATGAGTGGATCACCTTAGGTCAGTTCGAGACCAGCATGGCCAACATGACAAAACCCCCATCTCTACTAAAAATATAAAAATTAGCTAGGCACACCCCTGTAACCCTAGCTACTTGGGAGACTGAGGCAGGAGAATCACTTGAATCCAGGAGGTGGAAGTTACAGTGCGCTGAGATCACGCCACTGCACTCCAGCCTGAGCAACAGAGCGAGACTCTGTCACAAAATAAATAAAATAAAACAAAAATGCAGATTCCATACCAAATTAGCTGAGCATGGCAGCACACATCTATAATCCCAGCTACTCAGGAGGCTGAGGCAGGAGAATCGCTTGAAACCAGGAGGCAGAGGTTGCAGTGAGCCGAGATTGCACCACTGCACTCCAGCCTGG